ATCGTCGGGGCCCCCTTTCCACACTTGGACAGCTCGTCCACCTTCGATGACGACCCCCCCTCAGCCCCCCGGGACCCCCCCCCCCCCCGCCTCCGCCGCCGGGACCCCACAAAACCGTTCCTCTCGCTCGTGTCGCGCCCGTTGTTCCCGCCCGAGGCGTAACCGTTTACGGTACTGCTGCTGCTGCTGCTGCTGCTGCTGCTGCCGTTGTTCTTCGAGTCACCACCGCCCCTGGTGTCCGAGAGGCCGGCGTCCACCAAGGGCAAGCCTACTTCCTGGTACGAGGAGGGTGGCATCATCATCCCCGCCCCCGCCCCCCGCCGCGTCCCCGGCAGCTGCGGCGCAGCGGCACCCGGGCGGCGGCCGACGGTCGACTTGTCGGTGAGGCGGTCGACGTCAACCTTGACCTTCGTAGCGTACGTCACAAGGTCCAGCTGGCGGTATTCCTGGGGGGTAAGGGGACGGGAGGGGGGGGGTAAAAGAGGGGGTCAGAAAACCAAATCAGTGAACGATTTCCAGACCAAATCATCAAGAGTCATTTTCCAAACTAAATCATAAAACGATTTTAGAAAATATACATACTTTCAAAGAAATTCGGCCCGTTCGGGATAATACCACCATGGTCGAAGGGGATGTGTTCAAGTCTTCACAACAGTAGTGAGTGGAAAAAAAAAACCGGTTGGATTCGAACTCGTTTCAAGGAATTGGTCTCTCGGGTAAGGCTGACCATCGACTACTCAGGCTGGTGCAGCAAGCTGGCCGTAAAATTGGGTATCATCGGAAGAGAACCGTTGGAAAAAAACTATAATTAGTGTTCGGAAAGGGGGCTGAATGATTTGTTGGCTCGTGGGTAAGGCGCGCGCGCGAGGGGTTGACAAAGACCCACACCCAGCACAGCTGTCCACCCTCTCCCGGAAATGGTGACAATGACTAGGGTAGGTCTGCCCATCTCTGTTTTTTTTTGGGACAGCGTTGTTGAAGTGATTCCTATTTAGGATCAGGTTCGCACCATGGTGGGTGTCTACAAATTCTCATTCGCAGCGACCCTATCAACAGACGAAATGCTCCGTGAAGAGAATTTTTGGGCAAACGCAAAAACACATACACATCCAACAACAACAACACGACAGCAACACCAGCCAGCAGCAAAGCAGAAGCTCCAGGTCTCTCACCGGGTCGAAGGGTTGCTCGATGAAGTAAGCGATCTCCTCGATGGAGAAGAGCCCCCAGCACACCGCGGCTACGACGGGGGCCGTGAACAGCTCGGTGTGCGGCACGAGGACAACGGGGAGGGTGAAGCCGTACACCGTCAAGAAGCGCGACGTGTGTCGGCTGCGAGGCAAAGCGACGGCAAGGGGAGGCAGGCAACAGAGGAACATCACAGGTTGAGGGAGCGACCAGCACCGGGCAACACCATCGCCCAAGAGTATAACGTCAGCGTCCCCAAAAGCACTACATTGTACCAGCAACAGATGCTCCGGCGAGCGTCGAGACCAAAGAGGCGACTGCGAACGCAACCATCAGGGTGTGAAATCTTCAGCCCTGAAGGGCAACACGCCCTAACCCGATCTCCCCAAAACATAACCCTTTGCACCTCTGACTACATTCTTGCACCCCCACCCCTTCCTTCCCTTTGACACACAGATTCATGGCATTCGCTCGCATTCAGTGCGAAACGCCTTCTTCGAATTTTGGCCTCCTTCCCGGAGGGACCTTGATTTTCGCCGTTGGCACTGACGTATTTTCATTGGTCAGCAGCCGGATGGCGCGGTCGATGCAATAAATAGAAAAATAAAAAAAACACACACAAAGGCTCCCGTGTTCTCATACGCCAGCAGCCGGATGGCGCGGTCGATGCAATCAATAATAAAACTAAACACACACACAAAGACTGACGTCTTTTCATAGGTCAACAGCCGGGTGGCGCGGTCGATACAAATGATGAATAACAAATAAAAAATAAACACACACACACACACGCACACCTGTATCCCCTGGGCACCGGGGTGGTGACGATGCGCTCGCACTTCCCTAGGGCGTCGACCAGGAACGATAGCCCTTCCTCGATCTGCACGCGGTACATCACCGACGTGTAGTCGGGCACCCTTCCGCCTGGGCTCTGGGCCGCCCCTCCCTCCGAGCAGGCTCTTGCGAGGATTTCCATCATGATCTGTACATAGAGGCAATCGACACAGAAGCGATGGTTTCCATCGTGATCTATATAGAGGCAACCGGCCACAGAAGCGAGGATTTCCATCATCATCTGCATCGAGGCAATCAACACAGAAGCGATGATATACCATCATGATCTGCGTCGAGGAAATCAACACAGAAGCGAGGACTTCCATCTTGATCTACTGTACATAAAGGCACTCAACCACAGAAGCGATGATTTCCATCATGATCTATATAGAGGCAATCAACACAGCAGTGAGGATATCCATCTAGAGGCAATCGACCCAGCGATGATTTCCATCATCATCTATATAGAGGCAATCAACACAGGGGAGAGGGGGGGGGCGCTCATGTTTTGCATGCCTTAGCGGCTAGACCATTGACGTGGACGGGAGGGGGGGATTGTACCCCGGCCCCGTCCAGGCGCAACGCACACAGCTCTGGTGGAAACCCTCCCCTACATATCGAGCGCTCTTGACGAACACCCTGCCACATTTGACAACGGCACCGTATTCGCGGGGGTTTTACTGCTGCTATTCTACGAAATAGAGAGGGGTTCCGTAGACGTTATTGTTAATCTACGAAATAGAGAGGGGTTCCGTAGACGTTATTGCTAATCTACGAAATAGATAGGGGGCTCCGCATACGTCATTGTTAATCTACGAAATAGATAGGGGGCTCCGCATACGTCATTGTTAATCTACGAAATAGAGGGGGGGGTTCTGTATCCCTATCCCTAACCCCTAACCCCACCCCTGTGCCCCCTACTAAAACCAATGTTTATCCCCTACAAATAGTGAAGGCTACTGGCCGCCTTCGCCAGGATGTTACCATATACCTTTGAAAAACTTTACATCCCTTAACCCCCAACCCACGCCACCTTCTTTGAAAAGCCCCAACCACAACCCTTAACCTTAACCCCACCCCGTACTACAACCAATGTTGGTATCCTCGAGAGAGCTACTGAGGAAACGGGAGGGGGTGTACGCATGTAAACGTATGCCGTAGTCGCTACACCTTTGAGACCGGGGGGGGGGTATTCCGGGAAGAGTTCGGTTTACAAACGCAAGCGCACACCTGGCAGCAGTAGAGGGGAGGGTTGGGGTCTTCCTGGAGTCTGGCAACAGTGCCCTCCGGGAGGCGGGACCAATCCATTTCCGCGTCATCCCGTTCGTCCTGCAGGTGCTGCTTCAGCAGGAAGGGGTAGAGCTGTGGGCAGAAGGGACGGCGGATGGCAGGAGCGTGCGCCATCCAAAGCGGGCGGAGCGGGAGGGCGACGCCATGTCCGAAAAGAAAGAGATTTTTGAGTGATTTTCCATTGCTCGCTGCTGATTTTCCGACGCAGCACTGCTGTCGGCAGGCTGTGAGCAAGCTTTATATCCTAATCGATCAACGATCTCTTCGGCACAAAAGGTGCTGTTTTTTGCTGCTGCTGCTGCTGCTGCTGCTGACGTAACTTCTCTCGCTCGCCTAGCGTGCCACACCCCCACTTTCCTTCCCCTGTCTTACGATCAAGCCCACACCATCAATTGGGTCCTACAGGTCGGGCTGCCGACAACCTTACTCACACGTCTACCTACCTAGTACCCTTGTACCCTTTCGTACTGCCCCACTTCGTCTTCGACGCCACATGCGTCAAACGCGGCATCGACTCCGCGCCAAGTACAGGAGATGAAAGCCACAGGCACCCAACACAAACCAAGAACATGGAAGGAAAAAAAAGCTCCCCCCGTCCCTCCCCCCTCGGCTACCTTCACGGCGCTTCGGCCTTGGTGACGTGAGGGCCTGGTCCGGTGAGAACCCGGCGTGCTCCGTCCCGGCCTTGCAGGGACGCAAGGTCAACGGTCTAACGACTACGGCATGCACGACTATGAGCACCCCCCCCCCCCCCCCCCCCCGGGTTCCAAATCAAG